AGGTGCGCACCCCCCACTTTTAGAAAATTTTCAGTTTTTCCCAGCAAAAATCCCATTTTTTTTGAAAAAAATGATCGTTAAATTAAAAAAATGGTTATGCACTCCTCACTTTCAAAAAAATGCCATATGCATGCATGTGTTTCCTTCTCAAAAAAACTCGTTGCACCCCTCCCCCCCTTCCACTTTTTTCTTTGCGGCACATCCCTGATTAGAGATAAGAAGAACATGTCTTATTATCTGTTCGAACATTGTAATTGAACATCGTCATAGTTGCGTAAGAATTTGATTAACTAGGGACACTTACTGACTCAATTTGAAACTTACAATAAGATTTGTTTAATAACATATAATTGATTTATAACGTTCATTGGTCGAAATTCTAATTTTGTTATTTGACTCAAATCAATGAAACGCATAATATTGTTGGCGCGTACTTCTTGATCTATCTTATGAACTGAAAAACGTAAATACATTAGAAAATTGTTCATGATATAACAAGATAAGCAAATATTTTCTTCTTACTTAAATCCAATTCATTTCTCTGTGTTGTTGTATTAAATGACACAAACTCAATTATAAGATGATCGAGGTTTTGAAATAGTGGAGAAGATGATGGAATATCAATAGCTGCCATATTCAACGGTATGAAGAGATGCAATTCTTTTAAATGAGAATAAAAAAGATGCTTTTCAGCATCAGTTGTTACTGTTGATGTCATATTTAATGAGCCAAGAACCATCTTTTCTCCCAAGAAATATATATTTCGTGGTTTTTTCGAATATGTGAACGCTCGTAACCGAACATATTCATCTGAAAAGTATTCACATAGATTCTCACTATTCAGCAGATCAATAATAAATTTTATCTTACGTCGATTATTCGGATGAAATTGTGATCGAGTGATTGCCACATGAAAATTATTAAATTTTGTAAGAAAATATTTAAATGAATGAATAATAGCGATCGAATCAATATGCAGACTTGAATTGTTCGTATAGAAGTAAAAATCAATTGTATCCAAGTGAGGCACGCGACTCGTCAACAATCGTTTCCATTGATAACCGTCAAATAAGGTTGCTGAGATAGGTGAATTTGATAGTGGAGATCTGGCTGTAATAATAAATCGGCGAAGATTAGGCATACAACGTAGAATAAGACTTAATTCAGGAAAGTCACATTCTGCATAAATACTCAGATCAAATGATTTTATTGACAATGATATGGGCAAATTATCTTCATCCGTTGATGATAACATTGATTCACTAAAACAAAGAACATATACGTAGTGTTGTTTTAAAATAAAATATTCTATTTTCATCAATGTTACATCATAGGCAATGACTTACTTTGTAGGATAAGTATTGGCGCTATCATCATTTGATATTCAAACACGTATATTTTTCAATGCACGATAGGTACGAAAGACAGGCAGGAGATAATATATCGAACAAGTAGAAGATGAGCCATTGAAGATTATATTAAGTGAAGTTAATGCCGAATTAGAAATAGTATTAGACAAGAAATCGAAGTGATCATAACGAAAAAGAAATTTGATTGAGCGAATTTTGGACAATTTGTGCATCAAAATAGTTTGACTAAAATATCGTTTGTCTGTTTCAGAAAATGATATGTGAGATGGTTGATCTATTTTAAATGACACTAATTGCGTAAGACTTCTTAGTTGTTCAATGATACTGTAAAGTTTTGATGATGAACAAATGGAAGAAAATTTACACGATCGAAGGTTAAGAAATTTATGCCGATTGAACAAAAAAATAAAATGACAGATGATAAATCACGAAGTTGATCTGGAAGAGAGATTGAAATCACTTGATTGGCATGGTTAATGAGATGAGAAGACAGAGTTTCAATTTGACGACGACAATAAAGTTTGGATACAACAACATGAAGTCGAGTTGAATATAAAATTAATGAAATACGTTCATTAATTGAAGAAAATGCCATAAAAATATCAAATGCATGTAAATATTCAAAAATTTCCAAGAATATTTCATTAGAAAAGTCTTCTAGTTGACTAATCTTGTCCATCGTTTATTTTTTGCATCAAAATAGTCAATTGGAGTTATTTTATATAGGAAGCTTCTACATAGAGGAGTCTATCCGATTGGCGTAAACATGTAAAGGTCATCCATTGTTTTGCTTCACTAATCTTAGGTCACCTATAGGAATTATTGACGGCTAAATCGAATGAAAAATGCGAACAACTTTTATTTTTCTTTCTCATGCTGTGTCTCAGTGAAGCTATCGAAAAAGAATATTTCAATAGAATAACCTGAATTGTTCATTTGATTAGATACGTTTTTTTTTCTTAATATTCTTATGCTGATGACGCTGAAGCTCAGATAAAACCTGATAATTTATACTTAACAGATAAGATAGTTTATTTCGTAAAGTTTTTATTACACGTGATATATTGACATTGTAATTCTTTTAGCAATAATTGTTCTTCTATTTGTGTATAAATATTTGAATTAGCGTCAATGCAATGCAATGTTTGTTGAGCAGAGTCATTTAAAAGCATAATTTGAGCTTTATCAAAAGGGAAAACAACTAATTCCAGTCCTTTGGAGTTACCAAAAAAAGATTATCAGAAATCACCGTAGTTACGTTAGAATATTGATTTAAAAAATATCTGTTTTCATTGCCAGTATCAAATTTTCTCCAATCGTGAAAAAAGTTTTAAATTAACGATTCTATTGCATAAATAAATGGTTTGTTTTCTTTTTAAAATTCCTATTACTTCTTGCTATAGTTATTTTCAAAATCTGACTTTGTAGAAAAGAAATGATCATATACGTACAGAAAAAAAAAGATTGAAATTCAACTCTACTTGATAATAGAGAAATTGCATTTCTCGTTACAGAAACTTGTTGCATATTGTATTCTCTAAAATGAATATCTGTGCTTGTTGATATCTTCGGTCGATAATGGTCATCATGCCAAAGGTAAAGTACAGTAAAAAAAAAATTAAGACAAAGCTCAAGTATAGATTTAAAAAAAACTGATATATGTATACTCATGTTCTTTTTCTCTATCTAATCTCATGTAAAAGCTGACTATCGGCTTGTTTACTTTTGAAGGAGCTTTCAGTTAGGTGTTCTGCAGCATTATATAAATGGCTTAGTCATTATACAAGTGTCAATAATAGACGAAAGAATCTGTCTGCATTTGAACATTGAATAGAAACTATTTTGTCGTTGATTTAGATCATCTCTCACAATTTAGTGTCTGATTTTATCTAATAATAATATAAAAAAGGGTACATCACAAATAATGGAGGGTGTAGATGTGGAATGAATTAAAAACATGACCCACATTCACCCATACTCAAATTGGTGATATTCAACATATTTTTACTAATGTCATATTTATGATCAAGTTGAAATATTCATATAGTTATTTAGTGTTCTCTTATTTGATGGATTAATTTGTCTCCGAAGTGAATATTAAACATATATATTATGAATTATTTTCAGGCATGTTGTCTCCTATTGCCAATATTTTGTCGTAGTAAAATAATTCCACATTTTGATGTCATTGTCAATTGTACCGATAAATTATTGACTTATTGGCGTACATATTCAAGTGAACATATACATTGTGATATTATCAAACATGGCGTTTGACTATGATTTAGATATATTCGATCATAGTTGTAAAAATGAATTAACTCAAGCTTTAAGGAGCTATTCGAGTATACTTAAAATGGTAACTTATTCACCGAGAATATTCAATATAATCTATATGAAATTAAGTTGTCGATATCGACAAGTGAAAAAAATGATTGAATGATATCTAAATCGTATGATGGATAATGAATTTGATCAATCTAAAGAATCAAGAATACAACGAAAAAGAACATCTTTAATTGCTTCACTTGTTGCTTCATTACAAAAAGATGAACACATTGAAGCTAAGAAAAATGAACAGGAAAAAACTGGTAAGAAAATTATAACATCACTAGTTCAGTATTATAATGATCTAATATCTCTTCTTCTCTAAGTAGTATTATATTCTGTTTTGTTTTTCATCACTAAAAGATTTATCAAGAAATGAAATATTACATGAAATGTTCTTATTTCTGGTTGCTGGTTTTGAAACAGGTGCAACTTCTCTAGCTTGGTTTATTCATTTAGTAAGTAAATATCCTAAAGTACAACAGAAGATTAAATTAGAATTAATGAACAACAAAGGCGACTAAATATTTATTCCAATTTATAATCTTGCCGTTGACATGGGTGTGGGTGTGGATCTCCTCTTCAAACGAACCCACACCCTCATCGAAAAGTATGCTATAAAGAATGGACCAACAATCGTACGAAAGTTGAGGATATACTCTGTCAATTGTTTGAAATAGGAATAAATCCTGTTGTCTATTTTTCACTTAAAACTTCGACTATATATCCTCCATCAGCAAACATTACGGTGGATCAAATTGACAATGGGCCAATAGAACAAGATATTATCACACACAACATTAAAACCCGCTCCTATAATCCAAAAGTAGCATTACGTTGTAATCGTGGAATGAACGCTCGACTTTGGCTTGGTGGCAAGAAGTACAATTATAGATGTTTTTGTCCACCAAGTTATTACGGTAAATTGTGTCAATATCAAAATCAACGAGTTAGCCTCACATTGCGATTATTACCAATTGATCGATATAGTATTTATGAGATTGTCGTTAAGTTGATTGATGATAATTATGAAATAAATTCTTATCAAAAATTTGTTTTTCTTTCCAGTTGGGGTTGTAGTATGAAATTCAATACTTATCTTTTATATTCAACTCGACCTAAAGATATCTCGAAAAACTATAGTCTACATATCGATGTATTCGACAAGACTAATATGAAATATTATGCAAGTTGGTATTTAACCATTCCTTTTCTTTTTCTACCAATCAATCGTTTAGTGGCTCAATTAAACATACCATATCGACAAGTCGAAATTGATCATTCTTGTAATCTCAAATGCAGAAATAATGATCGATGTATGAAATATGTCAATACAGAAATTTTTTTTTGTCAATGTCATGATAATTGGTCTGGTACTTTATGTGATATACCTACTAATTGTGCCGATTATTCGACCGATTCAATTTGTATAGGTTCAATGAATAATCAATCAATATGTGTATGTCCTAATAACAAATTTGGTCCACGATGTCTTCTAACATCTTGTCTATCAAATACATGTCAGAACAATGGTCGTTTAACAAAGAAAAAGTTTAGTTGTATATGTCCTAATGAATTCTATGGAACGAAATATGAATATAGAAAAATAAGACTTGATATTTCTTTCGAGAAAATGGCAAATCCTTCACATATATTAATTTATATCGGCATAATATCAAATGATTCGTATCCAAAACATATGGTTATGTTTCAAAAGTTAAAACATAAACAACATAGTGTAACATTCCATATCTTAGAAGCATTTCATATTGTTTTCGCCAAAATTAATCATAATTATTTTTTGATCGTTCTTCAACAATATCCAAGACATTTCATTTCTACATTGATTAGTTCAAATCGACAATGTGCACCAATAAATGAACTATTTACTTCTACTGTCATGACAATGGCATATATTCAATGAATTAAATATTATCATTTATCATGTCGAAATCGTATGGATCTTTGGTGTTTCTTTGATGAATATTACATGTGTTTGTGTACACGTGAACATCATACCAATTGTTTCAAATTCAATCATAGTTCAACATTTGAATGTTCATACAAAGATTATTGTTTAAATGCTGCATTATGTTTTCATGATCAACGTACATGTCCTTCTACTAAAACTTGTGTCTGCAATGTCAATTCTATGCAAAAGGTACTGGTTTGACATTGGATGATATTCTAAGATATGAAATTCAAAAAGATATCAACTTTTCAGAACAGCCATTATCAGTCAAAGCAAGTGCATTGATTACAATGTTTATGTTTCCATTAGGTCTTGTGAATGGGATTTTCTCCTATTTAATCTTTCGTAGAAAAAATTCATAACTAGTTGGCTATGGATTATATCTCTTTGCATCTGCCATTATTTCATTTTTTACAGTAATCTTATTTACAATAAAATTCTGGTTTCTTGTTCTATCTCAAATGAATCTCATCATGAGTGATTTTATTCTTCACTGGGCGTGTGTTTTAATGGAACCTTTACTCAAAGCTCTTTTGTACACCAGTAATTGGTTTAATGGATGTGTTTCGATTGAACGAGCAGTTGCAGTCTATAAAGGAACTAGTTTTCATAAGACAAATAGCAAACGAATAGCTAAACGAATGATATTTATTTTACTAGTATTGATTGTTGGTACACTCATTCATGAGCCTATTAAACGTTATTTGTTTGATGATAAAGAAGAACAGCAAATATTGTGTGTGATTCATCATTCACAATTCTTAAAAAATTATTATTCATTCATTACATTCTTTCATTTTCTTGCTCCTTTTCTGATAAATATCTTCTCGGCTCTCTTCATAATAGTCAGAGTTACTCGCTGTAGTATTTATTATTCTCATCATTCTATCATTACCACGTATTATCATTTCATTAATATCCGATTGTATACGATCATCTCGAAATCCATGGATCTTTGTCGCTGGATATTTCATTTCATTTATTCCAGCCGTTCTCATATTCTTCGTGTTTGTTTTGCCTTCAGCGTTGTACAAGAAAGAATTTCAAAAGGCAATTAAATGTTGGTAATAATTTTATCGAACATGAATTAATCGTCGAATGAACATTTGAACTTGCTTTCATAAGACTGTTGCGATTATTCTATAATAAATAAACATACATCATAACTGAAAGATTTCTTTCACTCTTTATCTTTCATAGAGAATGTTTCAAGATTCTCTAGCATAGATGTCATGGAATTCAATATTGACCGCACTCAAATATCTATTTGATAATTTCAGTGACCATCGAAAGAAAAGAGAAGCAATATACACGACGTGAAATGTAGTTTTTATACATTGTGATTCCTTATATATATATTAGTATATACATAGCGAAATCAAAAGTTGATTTTATTCGCGAATAAAAATATTAGTTATTATAATTAGACATGGGCGAAACGGTACCAAGCTCTATCTTGATCTTGACCTGACACAGAATAAAGATACAACACGCAAAAATAGATATAAGTCTTACATGAGTATGAAATAAAAATATTTGCTATATTCTGATTGTACCTCATTATGTAAAGCGTAATTTTAATCGTTATCCCTCAACCATGTCCAACGAGATAGGAGTCAGAATAATTCTGACGGTATCTGTTGCAATTTCAAATCTATTAGGGTGTGGATATGGATGATAGCTTAGATCCACACCTACTCCACGCCCACACCCGAAATATGATACATTCTTTTTTAGACGTACTGTTCTTAGTTGCTTTCTAGATAAGAAGCAACTCGTATGAAAAGAAAACATTTTCTTTAATCTACACAAAAATAAAACATCGTGTTGTTGCTATACAAAAATTATAATTGTTTGCTGCATATACATACTTCATTCCTATACATATCGAGAAACAATTCTCATGAGTGAGAAAGGAATTTTTCATGCGTTACTGACCAAATTACAGAATAACTTATCAGATAGCGATCGCCGTCGTCTTCAGATTTTATTGTATGATATTAAACCAGGGAGATCTTCTGATAATTTATCGATTGATAGTACACTAAGTCTATTTGAATCTTTATATATGATCAAGGGAAAATCAATACTATAGATTTCAATGGTCTTATTGAAGCATTTCGAGAAATTGGCTGTCATGATGTTGTCAAACGACTCACAGATAGATTTGTACATGAGTTCAACTCGAAATGGCTTTGTCTTTGTAGTATATCAACAAAGGAAGCAGCGAGAAATACAATTGAAAGATTTGATAACCAGTAGAGAAGAATACAAGCTCGGTTCGATTGAGAAGTTAGAAAATGTAGGAACCGGTGAAAAACAAAGCATTCCATTGGTTTTTTTTTAAATATTAAGCATTGTTTTCGCTTTTATGAAAAAAACCATAAAATTTCAGTTTCTATTTGTATAGACTGAAAGTAAAATTTGATTACAAATTTTAATCTTATTCTCACACAATCTTTCTCGTTTTCTTTGGTAAGAAAGCTGCTCGACTGCATGACAGTTCTTTGCCTGTTATCAAGTGTTATCATCATGGTATATTAATTGATTAGGCCAGACTAACGTGAGCGGCAACGATTTTCCAGCCACAGCCCACATCCGAAACAGATCCAAGTCTAGCCCACGTCTGCATTTGGCGGCCATGTATCGTCGAGTCGAGCTCATTGGTGAACTCAGTGCTAATCGTCGCAAATTCAGAACCGAATGTCGTGATAACCGTATGATAGAGTCGTCTTTGGGGTGACACCGGCTGAGCTTTGGCACGCCACTTGTAGATTGCCCCTCCACCGTACTGAATATCGGCAATGCCATAGCGAACTGTTTCTGGTGCACTCCAAAATAACGTGTTCATGAGGTTGATGTCGTTGTCAACCAAGGCTCGCTCATATTCAACAAAGGCCGCTCTCACTTGTGCGACCACTTCGGGTTGATTTATTTGCATGGTCATTGAATGCTGCTTCACTTCAAGTCTATCTCTTCACAAATTGTCCTTGTTGATAGAAGCGCAATTTTTTGTCATATTAGGCAATGTATGCATGTCTTCGCATTTGTGCGATAAGACTATTTATTTAGTTTCGTTATTTTATATGGGCTCTCGTGTAAGATTTTTTTGCAAAGAATCAGACTATATGGAAAAAGAGGTCGTGCAAATCATTGATTTCGGTCTCAATCCATATAATCAACTGTATTTAGTAACATCAACTGCTGCACGAAGAAGATTAATCAAGATCAACATATTTCTTGAATATTGTCATAATAGCAATATATGAGGGAGTGATTACATTTATTTGTTGTAGAAAACAGTGATGAGATCGGTTCGGTTTGAAGAAAATGAAATTATCACAAGATTGAAATTATTTTATATAGAACACAGATGAACAAAGAAAAGTGTTCTATTTATGCAATTTATACCGAATAGAAATAAATTATACACATCACTGTAATTCATCTAGTCTGTTTCAGGTTCTTTTCATGTTTGATAGTAATATTTATTATTTATTTCTATTCGTTATAAATTGCACAATTGTTATCGACGTCAAAATATAATGCTCATCGATATTTTTTGAATATCTCGAGAACGAAAGCAGCTAGAAAGGATGTGGGTGTGAGTACTGGAACGCTTTCGTGTAATATCCACATCACCCTAAGGATTCGAACTGCATCAGAAAACTATCGTAGCAGGACTCTAAAAGTGATCTAAAACTACAATGAAAGACGAGACTTGTGAATTATTAACAGTTCCATATACGTGTATTTTGGCTGTTGTGATTTAGCATCGATGATGTCAACAAAATTCTCAGAATAAACGTACGTTTTTTTCATGGAGGATGTAGGCGTTTTACTCACACGTGATAGTGTCACAAACGATGAAAAATTTCATAGTTTATGAATGAACGATGTGCTAAACAAGGTCGAAAAGAAAAACTATCTAAGTAAAAATGTCGAAATTTTAATATTGAAATGAAAAGATATCGAAATCGGAAAATATTGAAAACCATGATGGTTCCAGGAAATAGTGGATTCTAAGCACCTATAATTCACTATTATTTTCCTATAGTTCTACGAATTCAGATTTATAACCACTAGTAATGATGATGATAATGGTCCTATGAATGCCATGAAACACTGATGTGGTTTATAATTTACAGTTGCTAAACGAAAACAATGCCGCTAATTCTCTTTGGATGTTTCTTGACTTATATTTGATTCCTATTAGAATGTCAGTATTACTCCATATACAATACGGTATCTACTTTCCTAACCAGAATTTTCTATAATCAATCGAATGAACAAGAGCACTCATGCATGACAATATACTTCGATATTACTCAGCTGTACACAATGATGTGAATCTCACAAAACAAACAAGTAACTATTTAATTCAAAACTTCATAGTGAATCTGAAAAACCTCCACTGATTATATTGCATTATTTTACTCTATATTTATTTCCATCGATTTTAATATATGTATCTTATACTATTGTATAGTATTTCTATTTCTTCACAATTCGAGAATAGTTAAAACCATTTTTGAAATCTTTTCAGATTGTTCGGAACTATTATTTTAATATAAACCGGATAAAATGAGGATTGAATCTTGAATAGAATTTCTATTTTGTATCGAAAATACCAAAAAGAAATAATAGATCCTAATATTTATAATAGTCACCGAACAAGAAAAGCAATCTACGGAATCTTTATAAAAATATTTACGTCCTCTCGATAATAAAATAAACGAGATTTTTTTTTAATATTACATACATCATACGATAATAGTTTATTACTTGATCATATTAAATAAAGATGACATGAGAGAGTGTGAATGTGTGTAAAATAGATGTAGATGCAAACTTAAGGGGCCCTCCAAAAAATGTCGATTTTGTGGTTTATAGCTCGTTAGATAGAGCTAAGTGTCTACTTTCGGATGCGCTGTAGTTTATTGATTGTATGA